GTGGTAGCACGCACCTGTAGTTCCAGCTACCTGGAAGGCTGAGGCGGAAGGATCGCCAGAGCCCAGCAGGTGGAGGCTACAGTGGTCAGGAGCATGCCACTGCCCTCCAGCCTGGGCTACAGAGTGAGACTCCAACTCAAAAAAAAAAAGGTATCAAATATGTTTGATTATGAGTTCATAAGGATACTTAAAAAAAATTAGTTACCATTAGAAGATGCCGGACAACCTATTTTTTAAAAAAACTGGTAAATAAGGGGATGAGAAAGAACCAGGCAGTTATCTTGCCTTTCCTATATAGACTATGGCTCTAGTAATGGAAAGAAAAATGAGGGCAAGTATTCAAGCCAATAAATGAAAAAGGAACAATACTATAAGAAAATCAAAGCCAGGCCAGGCATGGTGGCTCACGTCTATAATCCCAGCACTTTGGGAGGCGGAGGTGAGAGGATTGCCTGAGCTCTTGGGTTCAAGACAGCCCGGGTAACTTGGCCAGACCTCATCTCTACAATAAATCAAAAAATTAGCCAGGCATGGTGGCATGTGCCTGTAGTTCCAGCTACTTGGAAGATTGAGGTGGAAGGATTGCCTGAACCCAGCAGATCGAGGCTGCAGTGACTGTGAGTGTGCCACTACCCTCCAGCCTGGGTGACAGAGTGAGACTCCAACTCAAAAAAAAAAAAAAAAAAGAAAGAAAGACAGAAAAGAAAATCAAAACCAGGCAACAGTGGCTCATGTTTATAATCCCAGCACTTTGGGAGGCTGAGATAGGAGAATCACTTGAACCCAGGAGTTCAAGATCAGCCTGGGAAACATAGTGAGACCTCATCTCTATAAAAAAAAATAATAATAATAATTAGCTAGGCATGCTGATGCATGCCTCTTATCCCAAGTACTCAGGGAACTGAGATGAGAGGGTCACTTGAGACCAGGAGTCAAGGCTGCAGTGACTGGGGTTCTGCCATTGCACTTCAACTTGGGTGACAGTGAGACACTGTCTCAAAAAATTTTTTTAAATAAAAATTGACCGGGCTCAGTGGCTCAGCCTGTAATCCCAGCACTTTGGGAGGCCAAGGCCAGTGGATTGCCTGAGCCTGCGGCTTCAAGTCTAGCCCAGGCAGCTTGGTGAGATCTCATCTCTACAAAAAAAAAAAAAAAGAAAGAAATTAGCCAGGCGTGGTAGCGCATGCCTGTAGTTCCGGTTACTTGGAAGGCTGAGGCAGAAGGATTGCTGGAGCCCAGCAGGTCAACACTGGGCTGGCCGTGAGTGTGCCACTGCCCTCTAGCCTGGGAGATGAAGTGAGACTCCGACTCAAAAAAAATTAAATTAAATAAAAAATTTAAAAATATATATATATGAAACTGTTCTTACCCTTGAGATCTTCTCAACCTTATCCAGGACTACTGAAGTTGAATCAAAGAGGCCAAACAATTTGGTTGAATGAAGTACTGGAGTGGGAATCAAGAAACTCACACTCTAGTCCTAATTTTCTCACTGACTTGCTATGTGACCTTGGAAAGTTAGATCCCCTCTGGAAATGAGCACTGAAATGAAGGTATGGGGCTAATTTCAAATACATACCTAGGCGATGTCTACTATGCCCTACGACTCTACTATTGTATAGTACTGACTCGGGGGCAGTAGATGACAAAGGAGAGTGGCTCCTTTAAGGAAGAGCCAGGGATGAATGACAGCCCAATATTCTATTTTTCATTTTAGTGAAAACTGTTATCACTAATAGCCTGACTTTCTTACAGCCTGTGTCTTGGGAGGGCTGTAAGATTGATCAATTAATCAATGTACAAGGTTCATTCTGTTAAGAGAAGAGGTCAAGGGTTTCCTTGGAAAGATTTCCTACCTTGATGACACAGTCCTTGCAGTCCACCACTCGTTCAAATGTTTGGCTGAGGATCTCTATGTCCTTAAGAAGCTCTCTGGCCTTGACTTCCCGAAGGACAGTTCTCCACTGAGTATTAATCTTATTAAGGTTCACAGCACTGTTGTGTTCCTCCTTGGCCAGCTTGTCCTGTGTGAAGGAATAAATAAACTTCCCGGAGGTCAGGGCCAAAGGCCCCGACACAGTACAACAAACAAGATCACTCTTAATTTGTCAGCTGACACCTTACTCCTTGCCCTTGTCTTTTCTAAGGGACCAGAGCTCTTGATGGCAAACGCTCAGGAGGTTCCTGTTTTTTTTTGGGGGGGGTGGGAGTGGAAGCAGACCTGAAGTAAGATGGGAAATACCTGATGGCATTTTAGGGAGGGCGGAGTGAATTTCCTTCAGGGTGGGGTCATCAGAACAGGGTGTTGTTTGTTTGTTTTTATAAACATTTATTGAATGCTTAAAACATACCACACTCTGGGCTAAGCATTTTACAAAGATTACCTCATTGAATTCTCATAACATCCCAGGAGTTTAGTAGATACTGGCATAATCCACGTTTTACAGATGAGGAGACTAAGCCTTTTTTTTTTTTTTTTTTTGAGTTGGAGTCTCACTCTTTCGCCCAGACTGGAGTGCTGTGGCCGCTCCCGGCCACCGCAGCCTCAACCTGCTGGGCTCCGGCTATCCTTCCACCTCAACCTTCCAAGTAGCTGGAACTACAGGCGTGCGCTACCACGCCTGGCTAATTTTTGATTTATTATAGAGATGAGGTCTCGCCAAGTTTCCCAGGCGGGTCTCGAACCCGCGGGCTCAGGCAATCCACTCACCTCAGCCTCCCAAGGCACGGGATTACAGGCTGAGTCACCGAGCCCGGCTCAGGGTGTTGTTTGTGATGACCCATCTCCGGGGAGAATATTAGAATTCTAGACAACTCACAGGACTCATTTCTGGGTCTCAGAGGAGACCGCTAAACTATACTACCCACCCTGCCTCTCCATGCTTTCCAGAGAACTCTCCCACCTTCCAAACAATGTTGCCTGAAATCTAAGAATATCTGGGTCTCAGGATTTCCAGAGGAGAGGAGGCCAGGATGAAATCGAGGCTGCTGCAATGACAGGACTGAGGTGACCGGGCCAGTGCAGGGAATGGGTGGGGTTGAGCAAGACATCATGCAAAAGACCTTCACCTTCAGGAACTGGTTGAGAAGCCTCTCTTTCTTCTTGGCCATTTCCTCTTCTGCCAGCAACTTCTGCTGATACAGAAGCAGCTGCTCCTCTTCGGACAGAGGCGTCTTGGCCCTTTTTCCTTTCATAGGCATGGCTGGGCGGGGGATTGGAACGGGGCAAGGAGCCTTGGCCGGCCTTGGCCCGCGTTACATAGGATAGAAGGAAAACGCCCCTAGAAAGGCGACGTCCAGAACTGCCCCTGGGCGGCTATGGGACCGTAAATCTCAGCCCTTGGGCAAGAGAGAGCCCCGCTATCGGCTATCGGTGGGAGGCGGCTCTGGAACTGCAAGATGCGTCTCGTCTCCTAGCAACGAGGATCTCGCTAATAAAACGCAGTGAGAGTCTAAATGAAGCCCTGTCTTGGAGCGCCCTCTGCCCGCTGGAGGACCGCGGTTTTTTGTTTGTTTGTTTTTGTTTTTTGTTTTTGAGTTGGAGTCTCACTCTGTCGCCCAGACTGGAGTGCAGTGGCCGCTCCCGGCCACCGCAGCCTCGACCTGCTGGGCTCCGGCGATCCTTCCGCCTCAGCCTTCCAAGTATCTGGAACTACAGGCGCGCTACCATGCCTGGCTAATTTTTTCTTGATTTTTTGTAGAGATGAGGTCTTGCCAAGTTGCCCGGGTGGGTCTCGAACCCCTGGGCTCAGGCAATCCACTCACCTCTGCCTCCCAAAGTGCTGGGATTACAGGCCGAGTCACTGAGCCTGACCGGCAGTTTCTTTTTAAAGAAATTTTCTAATTTTGAAGATGTGGGGTATAATTCAGGTACAATAAAACTATACTTTTTTTTTGTTTTAGTTGGAGTCTCACTCTGTTGCCCAGACTGGAGTGCAGTGGCC